GGGGGGGGGAGGGTAAAGGGTGGGAAGGGGGTTGGTGGTGTGGGCAGGCTGGATCCCTGGATAAGCCCATTCAGCCCTGCCATGCCCCAGCCTTGGACAAGCAGTCAGCTCAGGACAGAGAGGTCACTGTTCTTCCAGACCCTGGCCCTCTTACCTTGGCTGGACACAGGCCATTGGGTGAAGGTGGGGGCCACCTAGGGGGCCACCAGCCCATTCTCACCTCGATGTCTGGGATGCTGTTCAGGTTCAGGGGGCTCAAGATGTAGAACAGACAGCTGCACTGGTGATCCTTGGAAAAACGTGGCGTGTCGATGGTGGCCCGCACCTGGTACACGATCTTCCCAAAAGGGCCCTCGAAAGACGTGGGTGCTGTGGCTGGAGAGAAGGAACAGACTGGCACCCAACTGCCCCTTCACCTCCCCCATCCCCGCCAACTGTCACCACCAGGCCTGGCCAGGCAGGGCCTCACCAGGAAGCAGAAACTGGAAGGGGAAGTTGTGCTCTCCAGTCGGCAGGCTCCCTGCAGAGACAGGAAGGGATGTGGGGGAGAGGGCACCTCAGGATCCCGGAGTGACTCCACGGGGCCCAGGGTGAAGTAGGCACTGCAGCCACCCAGACCACACTACATCTGGCTGCTGGGATCCCCAGCCTCTGTACCCAGCACCACGGCAGCACAGGGCATGGCCTGGGCAAAGGATGGGGCACAAGAGCTTGGCTTGAACAACAGGTGCTCAGAGCTGTTCCAGGGGCTGAAGCCCACCCAAATCCAGGAGAGCTGGCCCTTTCAGCCACCCAGCCCCTATCGGGCGATGCCCAAAGCCTGCCAGGGAGTGAAATCCATCAAGGTGCCTAGCCCTGGAAGAGGGTGGGCCAATACAGCGTTCCCAGAGGCAGATGGAAAGGTGAAGTGGACCGACAGGCTCCCAGACAGACTCACCCTTGTCCGCCAATGACAGGGCACTGTTGAAGTAGCCCTCCTCCGCCACACACGCTGCATCGTTGGCCTTGCTGGAGACCCTGCAGGAGCCTGTGCAGCTCACCCGAATGGCTGCAAGAGGGAAGACCAGTGTGAGCTCCAGGCAGCCGCCAGCCTGGGCCCCACCCTGCCCCCAGCACAGGGATTCAAGCAGGGCTGGCAGCACCCAGGTGCCAGGCAGCCCCACCCAGTTGGGGCCTGAGAAGGCCAGTAAATGGTTTGCTGCCTTTTAGAAGCCGGCTCCTGCCCATCCCCCATCCAGGGCTGTTCACAGGGAGGCAGGGTGGTGAGGCATGGAGTGACGTCTGTTCTGCAGCCAGGAGGGCCCTAAGGGTCACCCAGAGGACCCCCGTGCAACCCCAACTTGGTAACCTTGGCTCCAGCCACGCCTGGGCCCACCAGACCTGTGAAAACCCAGCTCCCTACAGCATGAAGAACAGAGGCCTATGGGGCTGTTGACCTCTGACCCCACCTTCATGCTGCCTCCGGGGAAAGTTAAGTTAGACTGGGAAGCACCCCTTCACGCTCCAGGAAGCTAACTGCTAGCCCTCACGCTGCAGGAATGTGGTCAGACCCGCCTGAGCAGAGAGGGTACCCAATTCTGACACAATGGCGGGTGGGGACACCCTGACTTCCTGGGCCAGTACTGCCCAGGAGAGCTGATTGTCTGCGTCCAGAGAAGGCTGGGCCCTCTCCCCCAGTCTCCAGTGGAAGCGCCCAGACCAGGAACCTTTGGCAGCAGAGGTTGCCGCCTATTTTGTGGTCAGGAACTTGAATTTCTCAGTCAAACACATATGCTCAGAGTCCAATAGGGTCAGAAGGCCGTGGCTGGACATCCAGCCCCAGGGATGCTGGTCACCACAGCGGGAGACCCAAGGAGGTAGAGGGGCAGCAGCTCAGTGACAGGTGGCCCTGCCGCTCCACCTCTCCTCTCATGATAGGGCTGAGTCAAGGCCAAAGACTTCAGCATCTCTGCCCAGTCCCGCTTCCTCCCGTGACTTGATAGGCAGTCAGGTGAGGGAAAGGTGACTCAGAATGTGACACCTTACTGACAGAGCCACCCAGGAGGAAGGACCTGGTGTTCCAAGTGCCCAGGACCAGGAGTCAGCCATACCAGCCGTGTCCACAGTCTCCCCAGGCTGGTCCCACCTTGCTGACAGACTTCCTGTTGGTCACCCACAGGGCACACAGTTTCCTTCACCACACTGGCTCGCCCCCCACCCCATCAGCACTGCCGGTGACCAACCTTTGGCCTCTGTGCCACCCCAGCCTTACCTCCAGGACCTCAGCCCTGCTTTCTAACCCATTCTCTGTCAGCTGGTCTCTCCTGGGTCTAGACCTGGAAGCGTTCCCACCCTGAAATCTGGGACACCAGGGCTCCTACAGATCCACATGGCCCAAGAGCAACCAGGCAGGGGCAGAGGAGGGGAAAGGCGGCTGTGACCCAAGGAAAAGACACCCTGCTTTAACCCTCCCAGTGGAGAGGGTGCGGCCCCCCTTGAATCTGGCTGCCCTGGGGGTGCTGGGATCAACAGACTATGCCAGAAGGGGTGCAGTGGTCCCCAGACTGGCTCGGTTCCAGCCAAGCACTGCCCAGTGACCCCAGTGGCTGGCACACAGAGCTGAAGAATTGCCCTGCCCACCTCTGTCCGAATTCCCACCCACAACTAGAACATGGTTGTGTTAAACCACTTAGTTCAGGGATGATTTGTTCCTCAGGGGCTAGCTCCTTAGATACCAGGAGTAGATGTCCGCCTCACTACAAGTCAGGGAAACTCAGAGGACTTACCATAGGAACCCATCAGACGGGCAAATATTAAACATTTTGATGTGTTGAGAGGAGGTGGGAAACGGACACTCCCTTAGAGTAACCAAATGCAAGCTGACACGGTGGAGAAGCACTGGGCAGGATGGGCACATACCAGGGGACCCAGCAGTTCTCAGAGCCTCGCACTACTCACCCAGGAGCGCTGGGCACCACTGCTCATAACAACAAGGCATAGCCCACGTGTCCAAGAAGAGCGTGGTGGCTAAGACTCACCCACCCAGCCCAGACCTGGCCCCCGGGGTTCAGGTGAATGAGCTGTGGGGGCACCTGACCCCGAGAAAATGAACAGTATCAAACCCCTGGACCCTGGGGTGACCCCAGAGGGGCCCAAGCTCTGTGACCTTCCCAAGGCCTGTGCAAAGAGTCCCTTTTTTGTTTGTTTTTTGATCTTGGGAGTGGGGGGAGAAGGAGAGGGAGAGAGAGAAAAACATTGATGTGAGAGAAACATTGATCAGCTGCCTCCTGCACACACAACACCAGGGATCGAGCCAAAACCCGGGCAAGTACCCTGACCGGGAATCGAACCGGCAACCTCACGGTGCATGGGTTGATGCTCAACCACTGAGTCACTCCGGCCAGGCAAAGAGCCCTGTTTTGCGCACATACGGAGGCCCCTTCGGGGACCCTGACTGGATGAGCCCCCTCTAGTCACTGTCTTAGAGTCAAACCGTCCTGTTCCTGTCCGCCCCCTCCTCTGTGTAGGGGCCGGGCACACAGCAGGCTGTCCTGCCCCATGTGGGGGCGGGGGTACATCTGCTCCTGCAGGAGAGCATGGCCGTCGCCCCAGCGCCCGTGCCCATGGCGCAGGATGGGGCAGGTGTGTCTGGCAAGGTGCGGGCCCCACCGTTCAGCACCAAGTGCGGCCTCAGAGCCTCTGCTGTACCACGGAGGTTTGAAACTGTTCCATTGCACCAGTGCCAGGATGTAAGGCACTGAACTGACGGGTATCCGTGTTTGGACGTTTGGGGCTGCTCTGGTTCCCTACAGAAAACCACCACGTGGCTCGTGCTCCAGAGTGGCTTCTGGAACCTTCCTCTCGAGCCAGCACTCCCACCTGCCCAGCAGCCGCCTCGCGTGCACACCTGCAGTCCGACCACGAAGCCTTCTGCCCATTCCTCACCTGGTCCCACGGGTCTCCCACCCCCCGCCGGCTCCCACGCACCTGGAGTGGTCAGCCTGGCCTTTGTCACCGTCTTTCACTAACACTCTAGCCCACGAGCTCCTTCTCTCTGCCCCGGCTCCAAAGCTCTCACACGAGAATGACAGCGCCCACCTCCCAGGGCTGCTAGGAGGACTCAGAGTTGAGCCACTGGGAGTGGGGACGATGGTGTCCGGCCTGTGACGAGAGCTCAGGGGGCTGGTGGAGCTGGGGGTTGGCTGCTGTCCCTTCCTGTGTCCTTCTCAGGGACAGAGGACCTCCCCATTGCATCACTGGCTGGTAGCAGGAGTTCAACAAGTATCTTTTGAATGAAAGAAAGAAAAAGAGCCACGACCTTTCCCTTCCCACACCCAGGCAGGCCTTGGAGGAAGCCCCAGAGCATCGAGGGCACCCACGTTCCCTCTGCTCCCAGGGGCAACCTGAACCGAACCCTCTCTGGCCTGCACTCGGTGGCCCATCGGCCCCCCGCCCATTCCCCCACCTTGTCCTCTCCTACTCAGGGGCCAGCGCTTTTACAGCTGGGACCATCAGCGGCCGCTCCCTCAGCATTCTGTGGCCCAGCTGTCCATTCACCCACAGCCCACCTGCCGCATGAAGGCTGGGGGCTCTGTCCAGGCCGGACCATTCACCCACAGCCTTCACTGTGGTCACCAATGGCCTGCTTGCCCTGGGCCCCAGCTACAGGAGGGTGACAGGGTGGACAAGCCAGAGAATGAGCTCGGCGCAGGGCCTCTGTGATGTCTGTCTGTCCCCCCTGCCTCGAGGCTGCCCCTCCTTCCTGTGGCCCCGCAGGGCACCCTCCCGTCAGCCAGGAACCTCCTAGCCCCATCGCACTTGTCACCTCTCGCTTGTGCCCCAGGGAATAACTGCACTGTCCCTGCTGTGCCCCCTACCACACCTACTCCCACCCAAACCCCAAACTCCAACTGGGGAGACAAGAAAGGAGGTGACCTTGTCGTGGGGAGGAGGCTCCACACGGCCAAACACCTAACGAGAGGCACCTCCACCCAGCCGCTCCTTAGGTCCCTGTAGCCTCGCACTGTGGCATGGCGGGGCAGTTAGGGGACAGTGGCTCTCAGTCCTCAGTGGGGACCAGAAGTGCTGAGCTGTCAACCACAAGGGTCAAAGTCCACAGGGAAGCCCCGGCAGCTGTGGTTTTGGCCAACCAAGCACCCCAAGGTGGAGCACCCCGGCAGGGACACACCACCCAACCCTGCACTCAGAGCCAGGGATCCCTGTGCCGTGCCTTTACCACCCAACCCCCCAGCCCTGAGGGTCGGGCCCTGAGGACCCGCCCAGGTCCCTGTCTACACCTCGGCGACAGGAGCCCAGACCAGCCCCGTGGAGAGCCCGAGCAAGGGCGCCGCGGCAACCTGATCCCGTCCCGGGGCCCCAGACGTGGGCGCCGGCAGAGGGACAGGCCGGGAGGGCTCAGGTTCAGTTCCCGGACGCCAGCTGGGCCGGGGGCCTGGGCACGCAAGAAACCCCCAGCCCCCA